CCCCTCCATCTTCCCGCCTAGGTCAGGCCAGGATCTGCCTCTCTTCTCCCTGTCCCTGTTCCCCGTTCCTCTAAAGGAGTGACTGGAGAAACTGTCCGTCTGTGTTTGTGATTGTGATTAACATCGCAAAAACCTTCAAAGAATCTCAGATCGGTTAGAAGCCCGTTGGGTTTCACTTCTCAGGCGTGAGGGGTTGTTATCTCCCCCGCCCTCTCTCTTGATTTTTTTTTTTTTACAAATTGTTAGGGAAATGGTGACATACAGAACGGTTAAAGTATGCCAGTCCGCACCGGTGGCTCGCGTCTGTAATCCTAGCTGCTCAGGAGGCTGAGAGCTGAGGATCACGGTTCAAAGCCAGCCAGGGCAGGAAAGTCACCAGACTCTTATCTCCAATAAGGCACTGGAAAATCGGAAGTGGCGCTGTGGCTCAAGCGGTAGAGCGCTCGCTTTGAGCTGAAGAGTTTAGGGACAGCACCCAGGCCCAGAGTTTAAGAAACACCACCGACCCCCCCCCCCCAAAAAAAAAAAAAGGATAGGAAAGATTACATTACATAAGTGGGGTAGGAAGAGTACATTTTTTTTTAATTAATAAGTTTTTTTTTTGTTTTTGTTTTTGTTTTTTTTTCTCGTGGGGCTTGAACTCTGGGCTTGGGCGCTATCCTGCCCGGGCTGGCTTTGAACCGCGATCCTCAGATCTCAGCCTCCTGAGTAGCTAGGATTACAGGCGTGAGCCACCGGCGCCCGGCTAATGAGTTGTTTTAATTGTGAAAATACTTACAGAGTGGTTACAATGACAGGAGCAAGAGCAAGGAAATGAGTACATTTCTTATCAAGCATTGCTGCCTCCTCCTTTGTTTCCATTCCTGCCCTCCCATTTCCCCCCACACCCAAAAAAAGAGTACATTTTTTTTGGACAATGTCACCCCTTCCCTGGCTCTCTCACAGATTTTCCCTCCCTCAAGTTCTGTTTGTTCCCCAGCCACAGGTTGTGTGTCAACATAGTGTCTAGTGAGTGCCACTGTTGCACTTCTTCATCCTGGGTCCCTCCATTTCTTGCCCCTCCCGGAAATAGATGAAGGAAGAAACAATGGGGGGGGGGGAGAGAAAACAAAATAACGTCGATGATAACAAACACAAAGAAAGGGGAAGACTTCTTATGTGATCAGAGGTATATAGGCATTGCACTTTGGTGAGCCTCATGTCTTCAATTAAGCAACCCAAAGGCCAGAAGTGGAGTTTTGGCTCAAATGGCAGACTGCCAGTCTCTCTGTTTTTTTTTTTTTGGCACGGGGTAGGGGGTGTCCGGTCGTGGGCCTGAACTCTGGGCCTGGGCGCTGTCCCTCAGCTCTTCAGGTTAAGGCTAGCACTCTACCACTTGAGCCACAATGCCACTTCCGGCTTTTTTCTGCTTATGTGGTGCTGAGGAATCGAATCCGGGGCCTCATGCACGCAAGGCAAGCGCTCTACCACTGAGCCACCTTGCCAGCCCCAGAGTGCCAGTCTTGAGCACAAGAGCCACGGGACAGCACTCAGGCTCTGAGTTCAAGTCCCAGGATTGGGGCGTGCACACACACACCCTGCACCCCTTGATCTTTGCTGCTGTTTCCTACCACACAGACACAGGCACGCATGGCAGCATGTGATCTACCTCTTCCCCTCCCCCCCCACACACTTTGCACTGCCACCACCGCCGCCGCCGCCGCCGCCGCCGCCGCCGCCACCAACTATAGCAACAGACTTCCTAGGCTTCCCCTCCGCGCCCGCCACCCTCCCCCCCCCCCCCCCCCCCCCCCGGCCCCTAGTTTAGATCGATGAACCAAAGTGTCCCCACTGCACGTTCGGCTCTGGCAAATATCAGATAGGATTACAGTGATGAGGAGAGAGGCGAGACCCGCCATGGATTGACTGTAGATCCCAGAGGACAGAATGCCAGCCCAGGCCCATTCATGGGTCAAGCCATGAAAATGTTTTTTGGTTTTGTTTTTGTTTTTCATCTGCGGTCTCTCTCCACACCCGGTGTGCTTTGTCTGTCTGTCTCTCTGTGCGATAGGGGTTTGCCATTCATGACCTGTGTGGGCGGGGATGCTGGGGCGTGTGTGTGTGTGTGTGTGTGTGTGTGTGTGTGTGTGTCTGTGTCTGTGTGTGTGTGCGCGTGCGTGTGTGTGTGTGTGTGTGTGTGTGCGCGTGCTGTGTGTGTGTGTGTGTGTGTGCGCGTGCGTGTGTGTGTGTGTGTGTGTGTGTGTGTGTGTGCGCGCGCGCGCGGGTGAGGGGGAGGTGTTCCTTCCTCACAAGACCTTCCTAAAGTGTCGGTTCGGTCTGGATCGATCTTGGGCCTGACGTTGTTTTTCCTTGTTTCGGGGTGCCACCTACTGGACACCGTGTGGAGTGACAGGGAGTGATTCGGGGCTGATGGCGGAGGCTGGCGACTCTCGCGAGAGTCTCGCAGACTCTCGCGAGAGTCGCGATGAGGTATCGCCGGCTCTCTTCTGCGGCTTTATTTACAACAAAACAAAATGAAACCACAGCAAACAAGGAAATTTTCTTGAAGGGAGGGCCGAGCGGAGGGGGAGGGGGGCCCGCAGGGGGTGTTTCTTTTCGTTATTTTCTGGACACGGAATTCGTTTGGATATTACGTCTTATGAGCAAACTGTACCAGTTTATTTACGGTTGTAATTTATATACAGTAACACAAATGTCTTTACGTCAGTATTATGAAAAAGGGTCCCACGGCTGCAGTGGGTGAAAGATTGAGACGGGAACATTTCTCAAGGAGTGCCAAGAAAATGGAAAACAGGCAATGCAATAGTTCAGGGAGAGTTATAAATATCAAGTGCTGCCCTAGGTGAAATTTCATGCAAATGTCCTCACCCACTCAGGTAAACTTTTTATATAGGTATCAGAATAAAATTTCTTGAACTATATAGACTTTTATTCACTTGATTTCCCTTAAGTAAGTTAAAATAACTGGCTGTTGACAGGGCACATCTGGATATTTCTATCGGTCCCATAGAGATAATCTGTTAAATTTTAGAACACGGTAGATTATATTTGCTATTTCCCCAAATGGACTTTACAAAAGCCATCCGTGGCCCCAAAGATGTATCTGGACCTCTCATCATGTGTGACTAAATAGGCCTCAGTGAATTAAGCTGAGAAAGCTGCAAAACAAAGCAGATCACTTCAGTTATGGAACATGAAGAGAACAAAAGTAGCTTTATGCCACTGGATCTTTAGTGAGAAGATAGAATAAAAAGAAGAAAAAAATATTGGAGGATGCAATATAAACCAATTGAAACGTATCCAACCGATGATCTGGCTTTGAAGTGGCTATTTACTGGTGTGGTCCTAGACCATGGTGTCCAGAAGGATACATCAATGTGTTTTGAAAGATCCTAAACCAAATATACTTGTAATAATGACAGGTACGTTTCTGTCCTCCTAATTCCAGCTTTAATCCTAACACGTCCGGTTGTGATAATACGTTCACAGTCGTGCCACTTAGGGATATCACGTCTTATGTCTTCTCTGCAATATCTTAAATGCTCAGAGAAGTTACACCTTCTGACAAAAGGACGTTATGTGTGTCACCCACACGGGGACACACACACACACTCTGTTTGCCCGGAGTGCTGTGTAGCTTACCATGTCCAGTTATAGTTTAGGTCTAGCATCCACATAGGAGGGAAAACACGTGCCGTGCCGTTGGTCGGTCGGTCGGTCGGTCGGTCGGTCTGTCTGTCTGTCTTTCCGCCGGTCTGTCTTCCCCTGGCATCACCTGTTCTAGGTTCTTCTCCGCCGCCGGCAACCCCCCCCCCCCCCCCCGCCCCTCGCGCTCCTAGTCCGTCGATCTACTTCCCTCTGTCTGACATAATCTTATTCTTATTCTTTGGGGAATGGATGAATAAACTTTTACCTTGTGGATATTGTACACACACCGTAACGTGTGTGTGTGTGTGTGTGTGTGTGTGTGTGTGTGTGTGTGTGTGTTGACGGAATAGAGTGTTTGCCATGCCTGAACCCCTGGCTCTGCCTCTCTACCCGTCTGTGATGCGATGTGTGTGCTGGGGCACTTGTGCCTGCGTATGTTCCCAGTGCGAACTCCAAAGAGAAGTACGCCCGCCGGGCCTGTGGGTTCTAACCATGCTTCACCCCCGGGCGATAGGATCGCCCCTCTGACTGACGCCTCCACTCTGTTTGGGCCGGGGCCCCTCGTCCCTGTGTTTCCTCCTAGGGTTCCCTACCTGCCCTCCCCCCAGCCCCGCACACACACACACACACACACACACACACACACACACACACACACACACACACTGTGCACCGCCACGCTCGGGTCCAGGTCCTCCACCACAGGCATGTGAGTGATGATGCCTCTACCCTCCGACACCTGTGTGTAGGGTTTAGATTCATCGCCTCATGCCCCGAATCCTGCTCCAGAGAGAGAGTGGCAGAGCCTATTAGAAAAGGCTAGCTGTCTGGACAGGCTAGAGTACGAACCGGTGAGAAGGTCGTTCCGTCCGGTGCGGTGCCCGGGGATAAGCGTCACACGGGTGCCACCTCCCCTTCCTTCCCCACCCAGCCAGCAGCGGCTCTCGTTTGGCTTTCCTGTCATTCGGTGATGGGTGAGTGGACTCACGCTTCCCATTGCACGGTCACCGTGGTTTTCCAGACCTGTGTGCGTGACGTAGCTACTCTCTGTGTGTTAGAAGAAACCTCTCTCTGGCCTTCCCCCTGCCCTTTCCCTGCCTGTGAGGGGTGGCGGGTGGGGGCGGGGGGAGGGAGTGTGTTGTGGGGCGGGCGAGGAGCGGACTTTCACAAGTGAGCGGGGTGCCTCCCGACGGCTCGTCTCTTGCTGGAGCCGACCCATCTTTGGGATTTTTTTTTTTTTCTCTTTCTGGTTTCCATCTGGGGGAAAAAGAAAACAAAACGTACAAACAACCCCCCCTCCCCCCCCCCCCCAAAAAAAAGACGGGCAGGCAGACGGTGGGGCGAGCGCTCACTTGCCCTTTTCTGGCCATGTTGGGCGGGGGTGGGGGTCTTGCCACGGGTGGCGGAGGTCGTGCGGGTGGCCGGTTCGTTTTCTCTCGTGGTGCGGGCCTGCCGTCTTTGCCGCCCCTTCCTGCTTGGGACCGATCCCAGCTTCCCGGTTCTCGGGTTCGGGCCGCTCCGTTCCGGCGAATCTCGTCCTGGTTCCTGGTTTCACTTTGGTCGCTGGCGGCGGCGGCGGCGGCGGCTCGATCTCGGTCTAGGTCTCTGGTGGCTCTGGTGTCGTTCGTGAGGTCGCAGAGAGGACCCGGCTGCAGGTCCTGACCTAGGTTGTGCCACTCGGTGCGTGGCGGTGGTGAGTGAGGCGATTTGTTTCCGTGTTCTGTGTCTCCGGAGCTCAGAGCCGGCCGGCGCGCGCCGATCCGGGGTACGGCGGCTCGGTGGAGTCGGTCGTTGCAAGGCGGTTGTCGTGCTCCCCCTGGCATCCGCTTTGATATGACAGTCCCCTCGTTCTCAGCCGAGCGAGCGAGTGGAGGAGGAGGAGGTCTGGCGGCAGCGAGCCGGGCGGAGGCCCGGCCTCTGCCGGGTGCCAGGCGCGACTGTCGCCGTGGTGTCGCTGTGGCGCCGGGGCGGCTGTTCTGTCGGACTTTGCGCCCGCAGGCGAGCGCGGGGTGGGGCCGTGCGTCGCCGCTCTCTCTTCGGTGCCCAGTCTGTGCGGGGGGTGGCAGCTCTGTCGGGTCGACCAGTAGTTCTGTCTGGGCCCGACGCCTTGTCCTCCTCCCCTCCCTGGACTCTGGTCTTTGAGGGCGAAAAAAGGATAGTATGAGGGACGTCTCGGGAGTCGGGGGAGAGGGTCCCCGGGTGAGCCGATAGGTGGTGGGGCCGGTCCCGGCCCGGACTCGGACCCCCCCCCTCCCCGGAGTCACCTCCGAGTGAGCGCTTGGCGCATGCCGGGAGCGAGGGCCTGGGTCGCCGGCCCCGTGTGGCCTCCCTCCACGGCCTCCTCCACGGCCCCGGAGGCTGGAGGACAGACCTCTCCGGCGGGAGGAGCCGTGGGCTCGGCCGAGGCTAGCCTCGGGGCCGGGACCTACCTACCATCTGCGGGGACTTGCCCGGTGGGCCCTGCGTAGGGGAAAACTCGAGGCGGAGGGAGCACCTCGGGAGTCGGGGACCCGAGCCCGGGAGTCCCGGGTGTGTGCGTGCTGGCGGCAGGGCGCTCACCACCAACCCCGCGTGGTGTGGTTGTGGTGGTTGGGTGCCTCTCGGAGTGGGTGCCTCGCATTTGCCGGGGGAAGGCTCCCCGTACCGCCCTTGCGGTGAGCCCGTGGGCACCCGGGGTGTGTGCCTGCAAGGTAGTGGGGCGGGAGCGTCCCTTGACCCCGCTCCCGCCCTGGCTCTTCGTTTGTCTTCACCTTATGTGGTCGACCTGCTGTCCCTGAGAGTTCCGTGTCTGGCTCTGTTGGGGACGTGTTGGGGACAGGTGTCCCTGATGTGGTTTCCGAGAGGTCCCTGTCGCCAGCGAGTTGTCGCCCCTGCCTGACGACCTGGTTTTGGCGTGGTGACGTGAGGATTTTGTACCTGCAGGAGGGTGCTGGCATGCTGTGTCCCGGTGGCTGTCAGCGGGTCTTTGGGGGCTCTCTCGGATGCTGTGTGCCGGGCCTTTCCCGTCTCTTCCCGGTCCGGGTCCCCCTGTCCTTCCCCCCGCACCCTGGGTTCCCGCTGCCCTGAGCAGGCCCTGTGTCCCTGTGGTTGCTCGTGGGTGTGGTGGTGGTTGGTTGGTGGGTGGTGGCTGAGTGAGTCCCATCATCCTTGATCTCTCCCCCGCTCCCGGTGCCGGATTCTGGTCCTTGTCTCGGCACACCAAGGAGGAGAGTGGTTGGTTGCCTGTGGTGCATAGGTAGGCCCGCGCGGTGTGCTTCCCTCGCTGTGGCCGGCTTGAGGAGGAAAAGGGAGGGCCGAGTCCTGCCTTGCCTGTGCGTGTGCGGCATCCCCGTTCTGCTGTTGTGCTCGTCTGACCTCCGTTCCTCTTTTTTTTTTCCCTATGGCCCCTAGCTCCAACTCCCCCGACCTGCCGCTTCCCGATGGTGGGCCTGGTTGGCCGCTGAGCTGCGCTACTCCCGAGCGCTGTCCGTGGCTTTTTTCCTTTTTTTTTTTTCTTACTAGCTTCTTCCCTGCTGTGCCCAGCAGAGGTGTCCTGGTTACCCCGAGTGCCAGGGATGCTTAAGCCCGTGGTATTTTTTCGTTTTTTTTTTTTCATTTTTTTTTCTTTTTACCTCGCTCCTTACTCATGAAAGGGTGTTTGCCCTGGCTACGCTTTTATCCCAGGCTGTTGGCCCTCTCAGGAGCCGAGCTTCCTGGGCCACCGCCTCCCGAGTGCCCTTCGGATGTCTTCTCCACCCCCTCGGTGTGATTGATGTGGTGATGTTGCGATCTCCTTTGGGTCTGGGCCTAAGCTGCGCCAGGTGAGGGATGGACATTCATGGCGAATGAGACTGCTCTTCTCGTTCTGTCCGTGGGCTCCTGCCCTCACTGTCCCACCGTGCTGTCGCCGGTGGTGTGCGGGGAGGCAGGGGTGCGGCAACCGGGTCCGGCTGCATTCTCCCTGCCTTTGCCGTGAGTCTGGGGACTTGTACACGCTGGAGGAAGCAGGTGCCCTGATCTTGCTCCTCTCTTCCTGTGACTTGTTATCGGCACGGGGATCGGCTCTCTCCGCAGACAGGGAGGGTCGGTGCTCCGTGCTTGCCCGTGCTGTGTGGTGTGAAAAGCTGCACCTCACTCTGCCCTCTTGCGGTGCTCCCGGAACGTTCCCGGTTGGTTCTCTCAGGTGCCTGAGGCTGAGTGGTGGGCTGAGATAGTAGGTTCCCACAGGGGAGCAGAGAAGAAAATGGAAAAGAGACAGGTTTTGGAAGGGGGCTCTCTTACCTCAAATTGCAGTTATCATGGGATATTGCCTGCAGCTGGGCCCACACTGAGTAGAAAGATGGAGATCAAGGTGGTGAAGCTGAAGATCCCTCAGGAAGATGTAGCAGCCATTAAGGAGATTGAGGCAAGGTCTGTATCTCCAGCCCTGCAGCTGCCAGCGAACTCAGGTAAACCAGAGAGCCCTGGGGCTGTCCAGGCCTTAGCCAGGCAAGGAGGAGGGGCACGCTCTGACATGGGCCTTCCTTCTCTGTGGCAGCCATAGCTCATGCTCAGAATATTCTGGCAACTCTCATTGTGTAGTAAGTGCTGGGCAAGCACACATTCACCCTCCCACGCATGTGTTCCCATGTGAGGGGCTGGGCCAGTCAGTAAGGGGAAAGCAGTGGGGCAAAAAGGGGTAAGGCTGGAAGGTGTGGGGCCAGAAAGGTTGGAAGTGAAGGTAAAATTTGTGGCTGTGATACCGGTGGGTCAGGAGAATGGGTGCAGCTCTGAGGGTGTATCTGGCCTCAAGAAGTAGTCTAGTCCAAAAAGTGGGAGTAGGGGACATAGCATGGTGGTAGGCTGAGGAAACACCGGGTGACCATGGGCCAGAGGGTGGGGTCGGGAGGTGGGATGATGGGGGGGGAGGTATGGGACAGGGAGCCTAGCAGAGTGGATAGGGGACCAAGAAGAATGGTTGGGCACACTTTACTGGAAACAGCACTGTCCAGTATGGCTCTCTCCATGTGCTAATGTACTATGCTCATCTGTGCTCTGTTGGGGGTAAGCCCATCCAGTTAGAGTTCCCATGCCCCACAATCTAGACTAGAGGAAAGGAACTCCATCTAAATAGTCACCTTGCAGGGGCATAATTCTCTGGCGCCTGGGAAGAGGTTTATTGTGAAGACAGGTGGGTAGAACGGACCACATCTGGAGTGACAAATTCATATCACTCTTTTTTTTTAATTTAATTTAATTTTATTCGTGAACATACTGTACAGAGGAGTTTACAGTTACATGGGCAGGATAATGTGTACATTTCTTACCAAGCATTGCAGCCTCCTCCTTTGTTTACCCTTCACATCCCTTCCCAGCCTCCCCCCTCCCCCCCAATCCCAATCCTTCTCCTTCCCCTCCCCCCGGCCCTCCCCCCCCCCCCCCGCACCAACGTTGTAAAGCTCGTTTTGGACATGACAACTTGTACTTCTCATTGTTGCAACAGGTCCACCTGTATCCTTAAACAACTGGTTTTTCCCCATCTCCTCCACAAGTTATACTGACATCAAATATAGTGAAAGCAGGGGTTATACTGTGGGGGAGGGACATACAAAGCAACAAAGAGATAATCTTATAAATGTGTTAGAAACACATGCATGAAAGAAAAAAACACAAATTCATATCACTCTTATCCATGAGGTATGGTTAATAAATATATGCACTCAAACAATAAGTCCTTCTTTTTTCCCCCTTCCTTTTCTTTATCTCTTTCTTCTTCCAGTGCTGGGGCTTGAACACAGCTTCTAGGTGCTACAAAAATTTCCTGCCCAAGGGCTTATTGTACTTCACCTCCTAGACCTCTATCTTCTTGGTCCTTGTCAGCCCAGGTGCAGGTACCATGGCCAGATGTCCGCTTTCAAGGCAAGTAGGTCCCCACCAGCCTTCTCCCTGGAGGAAACAAAAGAAAGATTAAGGGTTTTGTGCTTTAGTGTGTACATTCACATGAACATTTCCTTCCATCAGTGGGACAGTTCTAAGTATTCATTCTCTTATTGAGCTTCAGCTATACATCATTTAAAAATGGAGGCAGCAGAGAAGGAAGGGGAAAAAACCCAAACAACAAAACAAAAAACATATTCCACAATCATTGGATGACTGAATGAAGTAAAGTAAAACTCAGCCTAACAATATTTTATCAAATCTGTTACGTTTGAATGGTGAGAGCTCCATAGAGGAAGATGCCAAGGCAGCCAGGCAGTGCACATTTGGATATGTTCAAGGATGCTGTCATTATTTTATCATTTGCTCATTCATCCAGGAAGGGGAGGTCAGTTACTATGGTACTTTGATTGTGTTCAATCCAATGACCATGTTATAAAAATGACAAGGTGCCATAACAAAAAATAGGACTCCTCTACCCAGCAACGGTTATCTTTAGTTCACTTCCAGGCCACACACATCATAACCATATCCAAAGAATGCAAGGAAGGGAGGTAAAGAATCAGCATTCTGCGGTATTAGCTGGACCAACACATTGTTCAGGTTGAACTGTTTATCCTCTGTCGATTACTTTCTTCCTATTTGTGGATCTGAGGTGTGTGCACTTAAGAACTATGTGCATATGTCTGTATATACATTCTGACTGAAGATATATGTCCATCAACTGAGGTGTTAGTTTGCAAAGTTCATTTTAACTGGTACAGCAGCTGTATGTCAATGTAATTGCTCCCGTGTCCCATGTGCGTCTCTCCAAGTTCTACACAAGATAATGTCACTGACCATTTTACCTATGTTGCTGCTGGCATTACCAATCTTCCTTCTCCCAATTCTCCCTCCCATCTCCCTCAATACCCTGCAGCAAACCACAGCCTTTATGGTTTGTTTCTTCAGTTTTTATTGCCCGAGGTTTGATTGGTCCAGTTCTAACACAGTTGGTAGCTATGGCAGGTGCAGGGGGTGGCCTTTCTTCTTCTAACTTTCCTGACACATACCAGGAGAGTCTGTCCATGTTTCAGGAATTTTATTTGAATTACTTTCCATTTTCTGGGCTTTGCCACCTATCTGATTTTGTCTCTTCTTTTGTGTTAATGAAGATTGAACCCAGGATATTTCACTAGCTAGGCAAGTAGTCTCAGTGAACTTATAACCCAGTCCCAGAACATCTTTTTATTTATTTATTTATTTATTTATTTATTTATTTATTTATTTATTTATTTATTTATTTTATTGTAAAGCTACTATACAGACGGTTACAGTTACATGAGTGAGGTAATGAGTACAGTTCCTCTTGAACATTGTTACCCCCTCCATTGTTTTCCCCCTACCATCCCC